ACAAATATTTGGAGAGAATAATAATAATAAGCATTAATGATGGAGAATAATGGCCATGAATGTCGTAAGAACAATGTTAAGGATGTTTCTTTGGAAGATCTCAAAGAAAGGCTTGCAGAGTTTGCTAGAGTTAGGGGTTGGCAAAAATATCACAGCCCTAGAAATTTGCTTCTTGCTTTGGTAACTCTATTTTCCCTTTTTTTTATTAGGCTTTATTTGCTTATTTATTCGTCGATTAATTACCAGCAATAACAACTGTTTGTGAGAACAGTTGTTGTTAAGCTGCTTTTGGTACGTTCTTATAAGAAAATACATATCTATCATTTCTATGTCATATATGTTTATATTGTATTTTAAAATATAATATTTAAATGTAAAAATGTGTACATAAGCTGAAAAAGTATAGATATCGACCTATTAGGCAGCATAGAGAAGAGTTGTTGTTAGGCTGCTTTGCGTACGTTCTAATAAGAAAATGCATATCTATCATTTTCTATGTCATATATGCTTATATATATTGTATTTTAAAATATAATATTTAAATGTAAAAATGTGTACATATACTGAAAAAGTATAAATATCGACCTATTAGGCAACATACGGAAGAACAGCTGATGAATTCTACAATTGAGTTAGTGTACGTAGAAAGTTTTACATAGTAACTTTCAAATCGTACGCTGAATTAAACTAGACAAGTACTAACTACTATGCGACAAGCTCAAGTTAATCGTGCATTACATGGGAAGGGCCATACAGAACCGATGACACTAGGGCCATAATCGGGTCAAGGGACGATTATATTTTTCGAGTATCTACGAATAGCATATTAAATTGTATACATAGTTATAAATACATCTAAAAATAATAATTACATTTATATTTTTTTCAATGATATAAAAAGTATGAGGAAAGAAACACAATAAATATACGGTTCATATTAAAACGGAAGCGGTTCCAAAATGGAGAGAATCTCCCCTTTATCCTTCAATTTTTTTATCTATGTCACAGGACAAATTGCACTTTATTGTAGTAAAGCTTCTCCATCGAAAAGAACTTTATCAGATGTTAATTAATTATCACCATCCAGTTGAGTTTAACCCCACGTTTACTTTTCAAGATTCACTCACATTTTCTTGTCCGTGATATTATAAGTTCATAAAAAATTAAAATCATTTCATTTGTTTTTATCAATTGTACAAAATCCTATATTATAAATTGTTTTCCAACCTGAACCAAACTTAAGGGATCTGTTGACCCGTAATTAACTGGAATGAATGTTAATATAATTAAAGTATTATTAGAATGTATCATCCCATTTCATTTTCTAGATATTTTTTTCTTAAGAAATTAATATAATTAAAGTATTATTACTATTTATAAAATACATATTTATCACTCACTTTAAACATTTGAATATTTTAATTGTCTAAATATCTAGCTAATAATGTATATATGTAAAATTTATTACATAGAGTATTTTATATATATAAGAAAATGCTAATAATTTGAATATCGATTCAACCACTAGTTTGATCAGTGAACCACTGAACTAGTTGATCAATTCGATTTTGAGAACCTTGGTTATAAACACTATTTTTAATTCCCACACAATTTTGTTATTTTTTTTTCATTTTTTAATAACATTAAATTATTATTATTATTTGACATAATACATACATACACGCGCGCGCACACACATATATATATATATACATTCATTCTCATTTTT